AAACTTTTGTTTTATTGAAGACACTGTTAAGAGAATGAAAAGACAGCCACAGGACGGGAGAAAATATTTCCAAATCCCGTATCTGACAAAAGACCTGTATTCGGTAGATACAAGAACTCTCAAAACTCAATGGTAAGAAAACAAACAGCCCAATTTGAGAAATGAGCCATAGACTTCAACATGTGCTTCACCAAAAAGGATATACGGATGAAAAAGTAACACCTGAAAAGATGTTCAACATCATTAGCCGTTAGGGAAATGAAAATTTAAAACATGATGAGAAGCCACTCCATACATATTAGAGTGGCAATAATAAGTTAATAAACAAAAACCGTATCAAGTACTGGCAAGGAAGAGAAACAACTGGAACTCTCCTCCCTTGCTGGTGGGAGTGCAAAATGGTACAGCCACTCTGGGAAACGGTCTCTGCAAAATTAGGTAGACGCTTACCCAGCAGTCCCTCTTCTGAGTTTTTGTTCTAGAGAATTGAAAATGTCTGTTCACAGAAGAAGCTTGATGTGAATGTTTACAGCAGCTCTATTTGGAGTCCCCAAAGTTGAAAACAAGCCAGTGTCCCTCAGTGGGTGAATGGAGAAACAATCTTGTAACACTTCCATGTCAAGGGAGGTAGTACGCAGCGGCGAAAAGGAACAAGCTTTTGATACGTGCAGCAACATGGATGTATGTCAGAGGCGTTACGCTGAGTGAAAGAAACAGTCTCAAAAGATTTCAGATGGTATGATTCAATTTATATGACATTTGGAAAAGAGAACTCGATAGCAAGAACATATCAGTGGTTGCCATGTGTTAAAACTCATAGAACTGTACATCAAAACAGGAGATTTTACTGTAAGTTAATTTAAAAAATGAAAATAGCCATATAAACCCATTATATAAGTGCTACATTTTTATCAAAATTAACCGTATTTTGAAAAACAAAAAAAAAATCAGTAAAAACAGTAGCATTGTTTTCCATTTTTATAAGCTCTTGACTGTCTAGCTTAATAGAGACAGCTGGGTTCTCATATCTGCTTCTGCATTTACTCTCCTGCCTTACCATATGTCATATAGTGTCTGGAAAACCCCACTATACACTTGAAAGAAAATAAGACTGAAAAAAGCAAATAATGTCTTAGTATTATTATGATCTTTGTTTTGCTTCTATGGACCACCTGAACTAATCTTGGGGATTCCCCAGGGTTCCTGGACTACACTTTGAGAACCACTGACATAATACACTGTCCCAAATTTCAGTCATTTTCATAGCATCTTGTCTTTTATCTTTTTTTTTTTTTTTTTGGCCATACCCACATGTCCTGTGTTTACTTAACGGTTTTGTTCAAATTGGCCTATTTTTTTAACTTAAATTTATTTAAAGAGGAAACTTTCTAAATCTCCTATAAATGGAAAACCAGTACCACTTTCCCATAAATGGAAAGTAACCACAAAAATAAATAAGCAATGAGTAACTTTTTAAAAAAAAAAAAAGTTTACCCGTGAACCATCTACACTCATCTCTGCATGGTACAACTTTGGAAAACATCAGAGCGGAGGACTCATGACAATGAACGTGTCGCTAACTCTGACATCCCACTTCATTTATGTTAGCCCATTTAATCCTCACAATTACCATAAGAGGTAGTCTTATTGTCCTTTTTTAAAAAAAATACATTAAATAAAATGGAAGCACAGGGAGCTTAAAGAAGTTTCCCTGTGCTTCACAGTGTAAATTGCAGGCCTGGGATTCGAACCCAGGCAAAGGCTTCAGAGTCCAGGATGAATGCTATGTTGGCAGATAGGAAACCTGGAGGCGTGTCCCGGTTCTATCAGAAGGTGGTACGAGGCTATGTCATTGAACCTCACTGTGCTCGTCAATAACGTGAAGGAGGTGGACCAAATCAGGGTGTGCATGTTTACCTGCTGGCCGGCAGCCCCACGGGGCCAGGCAGGTGAGGGAAACATCGACTGACTATAAGGCAGTAGTAGGGAGTGATGGGTCACCCGTAAACTAGATATCTCCCATCTTATCTAAAGAAAGCAACCACTTTCAACTGTTTTTGTTTCTGTTTTGTTTATTGGCAGATACCTCTTTTTTATTTTATTTTATCTTATTTTACTATTTTGTTTTTATTTTATTTTATGAAAAGACAGAAGTCTAGAGACCTTGTGTGAAGTTTCCCAATTTTTAGAACACGTGGGGAGACCAGCAATACACAGGCTAATTTGTGACTTTATAGCTAGATACTTTCCTCTGACAGAGAGGGTTCCGGGATGGCATGAGCTGTTTTTATACAGTGGTAGACACAAAATCCAAACTACAGAAACAAGCCACTTAAAACAGTGGCAAAAGGGGATCTGGACTTCGATAGCCTCTCAACACAACCTCCATAAATATTGCTAGGGAGCTGGGTTAATTGAAAAGCCAAGGTACATTACGAGAATAACAAAGTGTATTTCTTTGTGTTCCTTTTGTGTTGTAGTAGAGTAAATCAGCAATATTTATCCAGTGCTAATTCTTGGTTTGCAGAGAGCTAATGTAATCATGAGATGAGCTTATTGTAATTCTTTTCTTAGACATAGAAGCTTGCCCAGGAACGGCAAGTATTAGGAACTTTAGTCAACGCTTGCTCAGAATAGTAAATATGAACATGTGATTTATGCCATTGTGTGTACAAAGCAATGTTTCCTGAGACATTTTCTATATATATGTTGGCTGTTTTGTTTTTTGGGTTGGTTTGTTGCTTCCCCTCCTCCGCTTATCAGATTTCCTTCTAAATCCTGGCATTTGACAATGTTGCAAGGCCAGTTTCTCTGTGAATCCACAGTAAAACATACTGGTGGTTGCACAATTCATCCAAACTTGGGTTTATGGCTTATGCGAGTTTATGTGAAACCCTGCATTTGTTTTCATGTATGGATGTATATTCATGAAGTCTGCTTCTGAGAGAGAGAAAAGGAGGGAGGACAAAATCTATAGACTGAATCTTGAAGGATGGGTTTGTTCATCAATGACATCATAAGGATTGTATTTTCTCTTGGTTAATAAACTATTTGTTTGGCGGGCGCTGTAAGCCAGCCAGGGCTAGTCATACCATTTCTTGGAAAAGATCTGAAGCAACTGGTAATTGAAATGATAATCATTTGATCATAGAGCTATTCGAAAATAACACTCATCTCCAAACTGGTCTCATCTAAGGAACCATATTTGGTAACATTATTGCCAAATTCCATCTTTGCTAATGTTGAGACTTATATACCATGATACTTAATTATTTTCCAGCATATTCTAAACTTGATTTCTGGTGTGCCCTGTCCAGAAGCTGTTCCCATATGCTTTGAAACAATACCCAGCCTGAATTTTCATTCTGACATTTAATAATCACCATGTAATAGCTATAAAATGCGTGACAACGACAGATCTTTTATTTCAAGAGGATGGTGTAGTGAATCTGAGTGAAATCATCCGTTGAAATGGTACTTTGTAATATGCTCCATTGTTTATAAAGTACTGAATTTTTTTTTCTTGAGCAGAGGATAAAAACAGTTTCCACTTTGGGTCCCATTCAGTGGAAGTTCATATTTAATCATGATAAGAGAATGGACTCCATTACGAAAGTTTTACTTTTCATTTTTGATAGAGTATTTATTTTGTTGCTGCCTAACAAACTTTGTTCTCAGAAGCAGCTTGGAACTGGATGAGGAAAAGTGAAATTTTAGATCCTACCTTAAAATAATTTTAAAAACTAAATCCAGGGTTTCTTATTGTGTGAAGCTGATCTTAATAAACCCTTTTTTGTTTGCTTTGGAGTAGCATGTGCAGTACTGTGTGTGTGTGTGTGTGTGTGTGTAGGTGGGGGAGGAGGAGGAAGGAGTCATGTTTAACAGCAAAATTAGCCAAAATCACTTGTGAATTCCTTTTGTTTAGTAGCTTAGAGGCATCTTCCTGTTGTTGTTTGTCAAAAATATTTCTAAGATTTTGTAAGCTTAGGAGTTTTCACAGCTAAGCTTTCTTCAGAAATGTGAAGTAAAAGAAATGAAAAAAGTCAGTTCAAGTTGAAATGTCAAATGCTTCAAATAATTTAACTTAAAACCCAGTGAGATGATCTTCTTAAGCCTTTTCCAAAGAATCTTCGGGTAAGAGAGGCCCTCCTTTGCTCCATGGATGGATATCTATTAAATATCTTGCCGGATTAATTCTGAGTCAGAAAAGTTGGTTGTTTCCTGGAAGCAATTAGAGATGCTTAAAATTCAAATTTATGATCCATACGAGAAACTTAAGTTTCAACTACTTTTCTTAGATTCAAAGGCTTTCTCCTCGCTCACCCTCTCTCCCCTTGCCCCATATGTATTAAAAGAAAAAATCAGTTCATTTCTCAACTTACAAAGTTTTTAAGAAACATGAGAATGTGTAAGTTTCTTTCAGTGGGAAGCACATAACATTTATGAAGTATTTCTTTTGGGATTACATCACAGTTTTATTTAATTTTTAGGACAAAAGTTAAATTCAATATTTGTGTATAAGCCAAGGGAAAATGTACCATAAACATAGGAATTTGGGGGTGAGTCAGAGTTCCAAGAATCCCAGATTTACTTAGACCATTTATATAGAGACAGGCTAACCATTAGTCACCTAGTTCTCACTTTTTACTTTTGCAATTAACTGCACCTAAAGATTAGCTTTCACCCGAGCAAGTGGTTAGATGGGCAGAGTGGGCTTTGGCACCTAGCATTAAAAATGGCTATCAGAATTACTGCCCAATTTTGGGGCACTTTCTTACCGTATAACAAATAGATCTTCTACATTATTTTTCAACTAGACAGCTAGCAGTGAAAAACCCTTGAAGTGAATTATTGAAGATTCTCTGTCACCAACAAGCCCATTGTCTGCTTGCATAAAGTTAAACCACTCAAATGGTATTTCAGAGGGGCTTTGTTGAAAATTTATCGTTTGCCCCCCAGCCACCAATAATGTTTTGTTCTTCCCTGACCACCTCTTGTAGGATGAAGTCATTGCTGTTTCCGAAAAGGTAATTGTGAAGCTTGAAGACCTGGTCAAGTGGGTACACTCTGATTTCTCCAAGTGGAGATGTGGCCTCCAAGCTGGCTCCGTGAAAACCTCGGCCTTGGGGAGGAACGGACAGAAGGAAGCTCTGCTGAAGTACCGGCAGTCAACCCTCAATAGTGGACTCAACTTCAAAGATGTCCTCAAGGAAAAGGCTGACCTTGGTAAATATAATTTGTACTTCAAATCGCATGTGTGGGCGTATACAGTAACCTACTTTGTTGTTGTTGTCGTTCACAGACCTTTCTGGAAACCCTGTCATATAGATAATTTTATATAGATATAAAATTTCTTTGACCTCAAAGTATCCTGGGAATATGTATGGACAGATTGTCTGGGTGTGTAAGGGATGGATGCTGGCTGCCAGATCGCAGGGCCTTCTCCGTGTGAAGCCCCGTGCCAGGAACTGGGAGATATAACACATGGCCTTAGGCAGCTTCCCATTGGTGTGAAGGCATAAGACTTCATTAGGGTGCCTGAGACTGAATTAATGAAGAGTTTAAATATTTGTTCTAAGGAGATAGTATGACATCTACTAACACCATGTCAGAATTTCATGTGTTTGTTTACATTGGGTGGAAAACAGAGCGAAGAAGAGAGAGGAGTTACTTAATGTGGAGCAGGAGAGCAATGTCAAATTGTTTAACCTCCTAGCCTCAGTTTCCCCACCTGAAAAAGATGGGCACTTTAACACGTCACTGAGATTTAAGATATAAAGGGTTTAGCACAGGGATGATTGGTGTACGCGAGGGGCTCCCTAAGTAATTCTGTTGCTTTAACTTAACACTTTCGTCTCCAGAGACTTTTTGTGACCTTTTCTTTTTTTTTTCTCCCCCTTCTGTTTGTATCTCCCTGTGGCATTCACTGACTTATTCTCCTAGCATTGCTCAAGACCAAAGTTGTTGACCTCTGAGTTAGACTAGTTATTTCCTCTTTAGGCAAAGAGGAACTTCACTTTTAACATATTAAGGCATCTTTTTCTTTCATTCTCTCACAATGCTGATGTTCATAGCCCTATTTTATGCCTTAATGTGACAACTTCCTGTTTTTTTCAGCCTAGGATTTAACTATTACAACAAACCTAGACTATTTACTTAATTGGCATAAAGAGACTGCATAACAGCCGTAATTGTCTTCGGTGTGATTCTGATTTATGATGAGCTGTACTGTGCTTTGGGAATCATATTAATATTTTCTTGCAATTTGAGTCAACGACTAACAGTTTCCTGTCATATTTTGGTAGATGTCAGGCGGTAATATTTTGGACATGGCAGCCTGACTGTCATGTGTACACGTAGGGAAAATTATTAATCTGGTGGTTTTATTTTAAAGCCCCCAAATTGTTTTTTTACTATATTTCCTATATATGCTGTTACACTCCCTAATTTCATGAACACACAGTGACTAGTCTTCTGACGTGTCATAATGGTGAATAATACATCTCTTGTATTACTTTCCTAATGTATGCTCTAAGTTGTATTGCTGTTGTCTTGTATTTTCCCTAACATTAAAGCGTTTTTTTTGTTTGTTTGATTTTTTTTTTTTTTTTTAGTTATGGAATATACTGTTACTAATAAAAAAACTAAACAGGAAACCCATGGGGGACAAAAGGATGTGTAGATGGTTAAGCTTGATGTCACACATATAAACAAAAGTATTTATAGCAGAGTTGTTTTCTGTTTAAAATTGATAGTTTATTAATGAATCTGAAGAGAAACTCAATCTCTTAATTCTATCAAAAGATTTAGAGGGTTTGATCTCACTGAATTCTAAAAAATGTCCATGATCTACTTTTTAATAATTGATTTCAGAAGAAATTGATTTATAGTGAATATTCAAAGTACTTAGTGGTTTTTAAATCTAGTTGTTCATTGAACTCAGTACGGAAATTTTAAATATAATGCTGATTGCTAAATCCAGCTTCCCCAGATTCTTCATTCAGTGGGATTGAGGCAAGACCAAGGAATGTGGACTGATAAAAGACTTTCCAGGTGATTCTGATTTTGGTTTTTGTTTTTTTTTTTATCTCATTTGGGAAACAGAACTACAATTAGTGCTGAGGAAGGGAAAATAATCAACAGGAGATTGGATGGGGAGGCTCTCCTCTGGTGAACAAGAAATACCATGTGCTTTTTCTTTCTTTCTTTTTTTTTTAAATGTAAAATACCCCTTTAAGGATAGTATTTGGGGCCTTGAAATTCTACTCAGTTGGTATGAACTGTGGGGAATTTGAGACAAATAGCTTTTGTAATTGGAATGCACACTGTGTTGTAATAATGTGGAAAGAGAAACAAAAACTTTCCTTAATGTAATGAGTTTCCATTATCTGCCTGATCTAAGGTTTACAAGTCTACATTGTTAGGATTTATATTGGGGAGATAGGGGGTGTCATTTGCTGTAGCATTCCTGTCCCAGCAACTTTCTCTTCAACCTCTTCCTTTCTCTGTCTGCAACATCAAAATATTTGTTGTCTGTACTTTTCTTTCTACACAGTGGTTTTCTTATCTCTCTTTCTCTTGGCCACACTGAAACCACTTCCAATACCACATTGTTAATGGAAGTTCACACACTTATTAGGTTTTTCCTTCTGTAGAACACTTCCAACTCCTCATTGTTCTTACCAAAGAAAGAAGATGAACTCTGAGATTATTTAAGACCCCCCTCTTTTTTTTTTTTTTTTTTCTGGTGGAAGTCAGCAAAGAAGGGAAAGATCTCACCTTTCTTGTGGCTAAAATAAAACTCCAATACGTTATGTTTTTAACCAAAGTATTTCATCACGTTAAAACATCAATAAGAACAAAATAATTAGGTTGACTCTTAAAGAAGGGATTTTGCCATCTAAAAGCTAATTAAAGAACTCTTCTTGCTCAATGTTTAGGTAGAATAAGTTCCCTTTAATCCCAGTTTGTGTCACTTCCTGTCTCTCTCTGAAGAGTAAAAAAACAAGAATGTTCTCACAAATGTGTGTCTGCCAACAAATTAATACTCCGCAAAGAGAAACTCTGCCCCAAATGGCAGCTTCCAATAACTGCTCTGATTCGAAACACAGCTCTTATGTTTTTTATCCCCTGCCCCTTCAAGGACAATATTTGTGGGTATCATGTTTGCTTTTTACAAATCTGTGCAGTTTTCGTTTAAGATTCAAAATGACTGGTGACGAAAATGACACATCTAAATAGTGGGAAAACCAATAATCTTCAAAAACACTCCTGAGATGTGTTAGAATGACTTCGTCCCCTTTCCTCCTCTTTGTCCTTTTCAAAGAAAGAAAGTTCACTATGAAACCAACTCAAATTGTGACTTTACTCGGTGAGATATTTTACCTTCTCTCAGACTGTTTCATACTGAAGTTTATAGGAAAAGAAAAAAAAGAGAGAAACGAGCTATGTTAAAATAGGAGGGTTGAGGAATGTATTATTCATAAGCATAACGAACACAGGAACCTGTTTTTCCAGAAGAATCGGGTTGATTAAATCATTCACTACACAAGCTTCTAGTTATTTATTTTTGTCTTTAGAATTACAGTACTTAGCTTTTGTAATAAAGTGGACTTGAGACCCATATTTGGTATGGCAGTTGGAAGTCGTCAAATGAAGAATTATTTCATTTTACAAAATTTTTAGCAACTAAGGAATATAAACACTATCAGTTAAACATAGCAAACTTGCATTTTTTATTCCTTGGGCTATAGTTTGGGGGAAAAAATCAAATTATTTTATATAACACTGCTTCTTACAGAGTTCCTTTAAGTGAAGTATGAAAGCTGCAGTGTAAGCTTTATTGGCCTATAAATATGTCATTATAGTTGGACTACATTTATATGCTTTGGATTGTTGTTTAAGCCAAGAAAATATGTCTCTACAGGTTGACTTTTTATTGAAACCCTTTGAGGCATACAACAGAATGTATTTTAGGCCAAGGTTATTAAAACAGCATTTTCATTTTTTTGCAGCAGACTCATTGTCAATTATATGCTGCCACAAAGTGTCTGTGGATGGGCAGTTATGAATGGTCTCATCTCCAAATGTGTCTCTAGAAAAAGAAAGAAAAGACAGAAGCGTCTGAGCTGAAATTGAGAAAAGAGACCAAAGGATGTGGGTGTGGGTACAGCTGAATTTAATAATGGGGGTTCCCTTGGTTCAATTTCTGTTTCTGAAGGCCCATCAGACTGGGAAAGTGTGGCTTCCCCTGTCCCTTCTGCTGCTCGGATTTTGTTGTACTCTGGGGAATAAGACAGCATGATGGTGTTTAAAGTGCAGTGGGCAGGAGGTCAGGAGACTCTTGGCTCCACCTGTCCTGGAGATCTGTCACTTTCTGGAACAGTCACTGTATGTTTACATCTTTAGGTTCCTTGGGTGTAAAATAGGTGTAATAGTGTATACCCTGCTTTATCTCACTCGGTGTTTGAGAAGATCAGCTGAGGAATAATTAGTTAGTGTCAATGGAAGCATTTGTGATTTGTGAAACTGAAGTCCTAGTATGATCAGCATGTTACTATCAGAAGGAGGTTTTGTATGATAGGGAGCTATGCAGTATTTTAGTTTATTTGTCCCTTTTGAACTTTCCTAATCACACGGTCTAGTATTGAGGGCAGGGTTTACTTTCATTATTATCTGCCTCAATAGAAGACTATTATTAAAATCCTCCTGGATATATATATTATATAATATATATATATTATATATAATATATATATATAATATATATAATATATATATTATAAAATGATATTTTATATGTATATTACATATTAGATATAAAATATATCATACATATGTTTTATATGGTTCCTTACATAGAGATAGGTATATTTATATGTTGTATAACTTTTTTCCTCCTGAAAATTTTGTCAAAACAAGCTGGGCCAGGAGTGGCCAGTCGTGTCAGTGACTTCTCAAGTACTTTTAGTTAGAAATTGACTTGGGGCACCTGGGTGGCTCAGTCGGTTAAGCGGCTGCTTTCGGCTCAGGTCATGATCCCAGGGTCCTGGGATCGAGCCCCACGTCGGGCTCCCTGCTCAGTGGAGAGTCTGCTTCTCCCTCTCCCTCTGCCTGCCTCTCTGCCTACTTGTGCTCTCTCTCTATCTCTCTGTCAAATAAATAAATAAAATCTTTAAAAAAAAAAAAAAAGAAATTGACTATAGTCTTTGCTTGGAAATTCTGGAGGCCTTGTATTTCAAATGGTTATTTCGGGTCATTTTTGAGTTTGATATGTCAAACTGCTTCTTGGGGTGTGGATGTGGGTAGGATTCTCACTCTGCATTGAAGAAAACAGTTTAAATGTCTCCAGTAAGAAGCATGCTAAGGTGCTGACAGTTTATCATAATGAGGATTTTTCACCTGATACATCTAACGAACTTACTAGGATTGAAGACATGCTTTATTAGGACAGTCCTTTCCTTCCTCCTTCCTTCTTCCCTTCCTTCCTTCCTTCCTTCCTTCCTTCCTAGATGTAAACTTTGTATATATATTAAATAGTCTTGTGAGTTTATTTGGTGTTTATATTTTAACTTCATTGCTGGGTTAGCTGTACTATTTTCCTTAAGGTAGAAATTTGTGAAGTTTCTTAGATGATATATTGTTGAATTATTCTATTCATGAACATCATGAGGAATCCCTACAGAAGGGCCTCTTCACTGAAACAAATCTGGCCTTTATAGAATCTTTGAGTTCAAAATAGAAATCAATTACCCATGGAGCTTATAAAAAATTTTTAAAGGTACTTTCCAAAGGATTTTCTCACAAGGCCCTCTGATGGTATTGTTGTGTGAGCCACACATTCTTTAAAGAAGTTCACCGTGGCATAGTTAACACTGAAGTATGCTGTCCAAGGGCCAACATGGCTGTTTCTTCGTGAGGTTGCTTCATGTGTTTGTAAATTGACAGTCCAAAGGACCTTTGACAGGAGTATGTTCACCTTTCCCAGAGTCTGTATCCAAGACATTCAAAGCTTTAGAACAACTTTTCTAAGGATCTGGGAACAGATCAGGGAGGTTATTTATTTGCCCATGTAATCAAACAGTTGAACATTGTCCTGAAATAATGGTAGAATGCGTGTGTAAGAAGTGTCTTGAAAAAATGACAATCGTGTATTTTGTCTGCACTCAGCCATCTCGGCTGTTCCTGCTGGAAAGCAAGTCGGCAAAATCCACGCATGTGTGAGCCAGTCGGCAGCTGGTCATGGATATTGCTGTCTGGATACTTGTCTTGCCATCACTCATGATGGCGCATTCCAAGTTAAGACCCTCTCGTTTGGAATTTCTGTTGACTTGTGGATCTTCTGGTGTTTTCTAGAGTAAGGAATGCATTTTAGGATTCCATATTCTATTTTCTTTTGATAGTGGACTGAAGATGGATAGTCAACAGAAGAGAAGTTAGTAGAATTTAAGAGCTTATTCTTTTAGAATTGGAGATGTCAGGGCAGAAGTGGGGGGAAAATGTGAAATTGGAAGTTTCGGTGTTATTTTTAGTATTCAGGTTACCAGTATTCACCTCTTGACTACAATGCATGAACAAGGCAAGAAACTCATGC